ATGAGGGGTATAGACGAGCCAGAGAGAAAAATTGCTCTTTGACCGTTAGTCTCGCTTCTTGTGTGCCACAGGTTATGATGTTATTCCCAATTAGTCCTCCCTGCAACAGAGAGGTATGAGATCAGGTCTTCATCAACCACCAGGCTTAGCAGTAAGATCTCTTAAATGGGTATTTCCAATGAAGTAGGGCTGTGGTTGGAGATTCCAGTTCATTATAAATTAACAGGCTTGTATCTTGTGCTATATCTTCACTTCTTAGGAAAATATTGGCCAGGGTCTATGGAAGAAAGTAAACAAGCAAATATTGTTGTTTTTCAGTTTTAGTCAAGTCTGACTCTTTGCAACCCCATTTGGGGTTTTCTTGGTAAAGATATTGGAGTGGTTTGCCATTTCCTCCTGTAACTCATTTTACAGATGAGGAACTGAGGCAAAGAAAGTTAAGTGACTTGCCCAGGGTCACACAGCTAGTAAGTGTCTGAGGCTGGATTTGAAGTGAAGAAGATGAGTCCTCCTAACTCCAGGCCAGTGCTCCATCCACTGCTACTTAGCTGCTCCAAGCATATAGTAAACTCCTATTATATTAAACTCCTGACACACACTATGCTAAGCACTTTACATTTATTACCTCATTTTATCCTGACAACCAACCGTTGGGGGCTATTATGATCCCCATTTTATGGTTGAGGAAAGTGAGGTAGACAGTGGTTAAGTTATTTGCCCAGGGTCACACAGCTAGTATAAGTGTCTGAGTTTAGATTTGAAATCTTTCTTTCTGACTCTAGGCCCAACTCTCCACTGCACCTCCTAGGTATGGGGGATTCTTGTGTTTGATACATTGAGTAAGGAGAGCTGGGGCATGGTGGAACTCCTATTCTTGGTGACAGAGGGAAATAGTTTCTGGAACTATTTTCAGGGACCCTTCCTGAAGAAAACAGGCTATCATGACCAACTGGCACATATATCTTCTATCGTCTTCGTGGGCAATGGAAATCAAAATTCTGATGTGAGGACCCATCGACAATTAGTCTCTAATCAAGTGACTGAAAAGCTGGCTTCTTATTGGCCTATGACCAATCACCGAAACACTTTCTAGAATATTATGCACAACTAGGTGATTGTTTCGACCTCGGCAGAATAGGCATACACACAAATCGATGTCAATCTACCAGTTTTTAAAACTTTTGTTTTTGGTACAGGCTGTTCAATTTATTGATTTGAAAAGACAAGAAAGCAAAAGGGATATGATTGAACAAAAAGGAAGATGAATTCATTCCTATAGATTAAATTGAAAGGAAATGAATTCAAATATCAAATTCCAAGTTCCAATACAATGTTAATATGATGATCACTAGCTTCAACTGGTGAGTCCAATGAACATCAGAAGGCAGAGCGTGTGACGGTGGCTAGAGTGCTGGGCAGGGAGACAGAAGCAGTTTGGATTTGAGTCCTGTTCTCCTTTGGCAAAGGTACCTTGAGCTAATCAGTTTCTATAAACCTTAGTTCCTTTATCCGTAAAATACCTGCTATCTCTACCTGTCTTGACGTTGTCTTGCCACTGGACTTGAGCACTGGGGAGGAGAGAGCAAGATGGAGGACTTCATGCAGCTCTGCCTCACTTTAATCCAATTCACAAGTGAAGACATCCTCGTGGTATCATTGGTTTTCTTAGAGAACGGACAAAAATCAACAACAAAATACCTATTGTATGTACCTCATGTATACACCTCATAGGCTTGTTATAAGGATAAATAATATAAAGCACTTTGTAAACTCTAAAGGACTTTTAAAATATCAATCGATCACTCAATAAGGTTTTATTAATATTAAGTGTTTATGATGTGCCAGGCACTGGGGATACAAAGAGGAAAGTAATAGTAACTGCCCTCAAGGAGCTTTCTCTCTTACACATATATAAGTATGCACAAAGGAAATATGAGGTATTGTTTTTTGGGGGGAAATCATAAAAATTTTCATTTCAGTGAATGCATTTGTTATCACATTTTAAAAAATTCAATAGTTCTGAAAAAATTGCAAAAACATTTAGAAAGAAAACATCACATTAAAAAATGCAACAAATTTATACAATTCTACAAAATACTGGTTTGTAAGGGAAAATAACTGTTTACAAGGTAAACATGCAAGTTGAATATGCTTCTAATTTTGAAATACTTATTGATGACAGATAATTACATCCTTATCACAAAGCAAAGTGATGGTAACATTGTTAGATTAAGAATAAATTAATCTTAGGGGAATTTCCAGAAATCATAGGCCTAGGCTATTCTTTTCCCAAAAGGAGAAAAAAATTGATCTGCAAATTTAGCTTTTATATACATCTCTCTATATAAATGTATCTACATGTACATATACTAAAGGCATATACTTGAAGGAATCTAAGTGGTACAAGGGATAGAGCATTGGGCCTGGAGTCAGGAAGACCTGAGTTCAAATTTAACCTTAGACACTTACTAGCTTGTGGCTAGTCACCTGGGCATGTCACTTAACCTTTGTTGCCTCAGTTTATCCATAAAATGGAGATAACAATGGCACATACCTTTCAAGGTTGTGAGGCTCAAATGAGATAATAATGGTAGAGTGCTTAGCATGTAAGCACCATGTAAATGTTAACTATTATTACTGTTGTTGTTGAGATATCTTTAGCTATACTACAGAACAAGTTCTTTATCTGAGACCCCCTAGAAAAATTAAAATAGGGGCCAATGTTTCCTTATCTTTTAAATCAACCTTATCATATTGGTACCACCAATATTGAATAGAATTGGTACCATCCAATTCAATTCAACAACCACTTACTAAATGCCTTCTATGTCCAAGTTCTGGGGGTACAATGATTTTTTAAAATGAATTCTCTGCCCTCAAAGAGCTTACAATCTCTTAAATGGGTTAAGGCATGCACACTAACAACTGTGATGAAGTTAAAATTCCTGTATCTTCAACTGGAGTGCATGGACTTATAAGGAGTGGAGAATAGATTTCATGACACAGGGATGCAGAAAATCCCTATGTATTTTGTTTTATGCATTTAAAAACATTACTCTGTAAAGGAAAAAGAAAAAAAAACCCATTACTCTGAAAAGGGGTCCATAGACTTCACCAACCTGTCAAAGAGATCCAGTACACAGAAAAAGGTGAAGGTCTGATACTTAAAAATTGAGGTAAAGTCAGGGGCAGCTAGGTGCTGCAGTGAATAGAGAACCAGTCCTGGAGTCAGGAGGACCTGAGTTCAAATTTGACCTCAGACACCTGATGTGTGTGACCTTGGGCAAGTCATTTAACTCCAATTGTTTCACATACACAAAAAAGGTAAAGTCCTGAAATATGAGGATATAATAACCCAGCGTTTAGCACAGTGCCCTGTATACAATAGGAGTTTAATAAATGCCAGTTGATTGACTTCTCCTTGACTGAAGGAGAGAGAAGTTATTTTCTACCATTAGTAAAATATTAATATCCTTTTAAAGTGTTGCTGCAAAATTTGAAGGAGTTTTGCTCAAAGGCAAGTTGACCCACTGGCTCATCCACAAACAAACAATAGTCAAGAAAGCATTTATTTAGGGCCTACTAGAGCCTAGGCAGGGCAGGTGGGTGTCAAAGTGGATAGAGTGCCAGGCCTGGAGTCAGAAAGACTCATCTTTCTGAATTCAAAACCAGCCTCATACAATTACTAGCTGTGTGACCCTGGGGAAGTCACTTCACCCTGTTTGCCTCAGTTTCCTCATCTGTAAAATGAGCTGGAGAAGGAAATGGCAAACCACACCAGTATCTTTGCCAAGAAAACCCTAAATGGGGTCAGAACTGTCAGACACGACCAAACAACAAAAGATCTAAGGCACTTAGCAAAACCTTAAGCAAACCAAGACTTTTATTTTGTCCTCCCGCCGGGGCGAGCCAATGCCTTGCAAGCCTTAGTGGGCTCCGGCTTGTTTTCCCCTCCCGGGGTCAAGCTCGGGACCCCCCAGCAGAAGGAATCCTGAGGCACCGAGCGCCCCCGGGAGGCGGTGCCCTGAGTGCGGGGCGAAGCCTTTGGCTTCTGCAGCCGCGCGGCTGCTTCTGGGGACCTCTCTGGGAGAAGGGCTTCTCCAGGCGGTCCAGTCCCTGGAGGTGCATTTCCTCCATCCTCCGGCCGTTCTGCTTCCTGGATCCCCTCCATTCTTTCCCCCGGGTTTGCAGCGGTCATCCCCAACCCCAGACGAACAGCTCCAGCCCCTCAGCCGGCCTCCTAAAAAAGTAGTCGGGCGCTGCTGGAGGTCTGAGCGATCTTGCAGCTCACATGCGTGTATGCACACGCAGGATCGTGCATGCATCCATGCATCCATGCATGCATGCACGCATCCTTCCTTCCACGCTGCCCCGGCTTGCTCCAGGCTTCAGTTGTGCCTGCTCGCTTGGGAGCCGGAGACCCAAGCTGGCGTGCGTGTGTGTGTGTGTGTGTGTGTGTGTGTGTGTGTGTGCGCGCGTGTGTGTCCGTGTGTGTGTGACGTGGGCAGGGGCAGCTCCCACCGCCGTGGTGCAGGGAGGAGCTCGTGCTGCTTTATTAGCGCCCCGCAGGTTGCAATGAGGGAGCAGATTGCAGCTCCGAGAGCCACGGGAGTCGGCGAGGGGCGCTCTCCTTCCTCCGCCCCCGCCCCCGGGTCTGGCTGCCTCCCTCCCTCCCTCCCTCCCTCCCTCGGCCTCCTTCTCTCCCTCTTTTCTCCTCTTTCCCTCTTGCTAACGCCAGACCCAGGCGTCCTCGGCTCTGCCCGGAGGGACCAGGACCGATTGCAAAGCCCGGGGCAAAAGCCAACTAAACCCAGCTGCTCGGAGATCGCGCTGCAAGCCGCCCCTCAGCCCTCTCCTCCTCTTTCCTGCCCGGCCTCCCTTCTGTCTTTCTCATTCACTCACTCTCCTTTTTGCTCCTTCTTGCACACTGGGTTTCAGAGCAAAGGGGGGAGAGAAGCTGCAGAGGAGGAGGAGGGGGTGGGGGTGGGGAAGGAGGCTGGGATAAAAGCTCAAATTTCATTTTCGGTGAAGGAAAGCGCAGAAGAGCGAGTCTTTTTTATTTTTTCCCTTTTTTAAAAAAAAAGAAACTTTTTTTTTTTCGGGTTGTTGTTGTTGCTTCCCCTCCCCCGCCCCCTTTTGGGGAGTTTTGCTTTGCCCAAGTAGTTGAAAAGTGAAATCGACTCGTGATGGTCCTCCTGTCCCTTTGGTTGGTAGCAGCTGCTCTGATAGAGGTTAGGACTTCAGCTGATGGACAAGTAAGTGAAACAAACAAACAAACTCAACTCTTCCTCCCCCTCCCCCCCTCCAAAGAGTTGATTTCTCCTCCCACTCTCAGCTCTCTTTTGTAGAAGCCCAAAGTGAAGACTGGATCAGGGTGGATGTGTGTGCGTGTGTGTGTGTGTGTGTGTGTGTGTGATTTCTTTTTAAAAACAATTAACTGCATGAGATTTCCGAAAACCTTCCTGCTGGAGCCCAGGGCTTGTCATAAATATGACTTGTCCCACTGTGCGGCAATCAGAAGAGTTATCGGGGGGCACATTTCCATCCATCTTTTGGCAAACTGGGATCCGCCTCCCCCTAAGTGTCAGCTCATGAATGAGAGCCTGGAGGAGAGTTTCCTTAATCTCTTCCTTTTGCCTCCTTCCGTTCTATCCCGTTTTCCCTGGATTTTCTCTTTCTCCCGTGGTTGTAATCGAAGAGGAGAGACCCAGCGGCCAGTTATACACGTGTCCACGGAGAATCGCTGCCCGGTTTGGGGTTTGACAGATGGGGAGGGGGCCTGGAAACGTCTCCTGACTTTTACATTTTCCTGCCCCACCATCCTACCCCTGTGCCCGGTTTCCTCTTCTCTCCTCCCTCCTCCACAGCCCCTTCCACTACAGCTCCTCCTCCTCCTCCCCTCTTTCTAAAAAAGCTAAGTTCTGTTTTCTTCTTCCCTCCTTCCCCTCCCCCCACTCTCTGGAGACTCAAGGTGAACGCTGTAAACTTAGATGAGTCCTTGAGAACTCGAAATCGAAGGAAGGAGCTGAGTTTTGTAAATTAAATATGGACAGGAAGGCTGTGGTATGCGCGCTCTAAGGCTTTCTTTGCTGAGTGTGCTTCGCGTCTTCCAGTCTGCCTGCTCTGAGCCAAAGCTATAAGCTAGAGAAACTGATTTGCTGTGATTCCTTCCTGAGCTCAGATCCCTGGAGTTCTGTCCTTTTTCATGACAGATCTCATCCCCAGGGGCCTCCAACAACCCTACCCCCTCCATCATCCCGCTTTTGTGATTTAAACGCTTCCTTTGCCCACCAAAATCATCTTCGTTTTAATCCTTTCAACCTGGCCCAGCTTCAGTGATTTTCAAAATAGGGCATTCAGTGTTAAGATGACTTAGTTGTGTCCCTGAGTAAGTGTTGAGGTGTGCGTACAAATACACTGACATGCGTTTATAGACAATACCACTGATGAATTACAGCAGAAAAAACTTCGGGACGAGGCTGGGTAATCCAGCACACTGCTTTAGTGGTTAGCTACTTTCTAAAAATCATTACTTGAAGGTAGAAAACTTTCAGGAGAAAATGCTCATTTGACAGGACGGGACCTCAAGTAACTTTTTTTCTTTCTCTTTTTTTTTCTTTCCATTTTCAGGCGGGTAATGAAGGAGTGGTGCGCATAGGTAAGCCTCATTAATTATTTTCACATGGTGAGATACGGAGTAAATTTGGAAAGTTAACTTAGAACTGTTTCTGATGGGTATCCTGATAAGTAGTTGGAACTGTTTGCCCCCATTCATTAGCTGCCTGATCTCAAGTGAAGCTTTCTCTGAATAGTAAGGGGCGACAACTTAATTCTTTGATTTATCCCTCACATTTTTTTCCTTTCTTCTTTTTGGTTAACAGAACATTCTTAAATTCTTAATTTCTTCTCAAAATTTTTATTCTTTTAATTCATATTTATCATATATATGTAATATATACATACATAATCTTGTTTTTATATATATATATATATATATATATATATTTGCTTCTTATTGTTTTCCATATTAGATTGTGAGCTGTTTGAGGGCAGGGACAATTTTTTGCCTCTTTTTGTATCCCCGGCTCTTAACACATAGCCTGGCACGTAGGAGGTGCTTAATAAATGTTTATCGATAGACTGATTGTAGGATTCCACAAACCTTAAATTTGTCATAAAAGTTTAATTCATTATTATAATATGCTTACATAGTAAATATTATAATACCCTTGTATGTAACATTATATTTATAATAACTTATTGCTGACATTCTTGCAAACAGAAGAAAATACTTTCTAGGCAACAAGCTACATTCTTGTTCATTGCTTTTCTGTAAACATTTCCTTGTAGTTAGTTAACTTGGAGAAAAATTATCTCTTTGGGTAAAGAATTTTCTTCAGTGATATAACAAGGAATGTCAATAGTTACCGTTCAAAGAAGTTGTACTTTATGCCATACATACATACATATATACATACATACATATATGTATGTGTATAATCACTGATGGAGAGAAGATAAATTCTAGCAGTTCGTTGCTGTTAAGAGCTAAGTAGGGATTCTACTCCCAACCTTGCCTCCTACCTACTTCTTAAGTAAGCGTTGAGTCCCCTTACGTCTTTTGTCTTGGACGATGAGAGCGGGTCATAGATATCGTGGAGGTAGGAAGGAAAGAAAGTTTTTCGTTTGTATTTTAGGCATGTGGCCTTTACAAACAGCCATTTGTAATTTCTTTTTATTACTAGCCCACATGATTCAGAGATCAGAACTTAGATCTCTTTTGCTTTTTGTCCTATGGCTCTTAAGAACCTTGTAAAAAAGAACTTTTAAGAACAACCTATAAAATCTATAATTGCTTCAGCAGGGAATTCCTGGTATGAGGATTCCCTTAGACCAACTCAGTCTCTGCCTTGGTAGGTAGGTCTTACAGAGCTACCTGAGGGAAAACAGGGTTCATGGCTTGCTTCTATCACGTGACAGCTGTTTGGCACTGGGTAAGACTCACAAATTCTCAAGGCAACTCCCAAGTTGTCACTATATCTATGGAGGAAGTTCTTACAAGGCTGAAGTCACAACTCTAGGACCAAATATAATGATACAAAAGTTTATAATATCATATAATTCAAATTATAAAGCACCTACCTTGAAGAATCCCAGTTACAATGGCAGTGCAAGGATTATCACCCTCATGAGGAAACTAAGGCTCATAGTCTTGACTCCAAATCCAACATACTTTCTATTGCTGCATCATGCCACTTCTAAATCAACTTGAGGACTTAAAAGGAAGTTTTCTTCAATAACTATTAATTATTTAAAAACATCTTGAGTACCTGGATTTTAAGAATATGTTTGATGATTATCCATTCCTCAGGGAATACTTTCAATTAGAGTCAACTTGAGGTGGGGTCGTGCCTCTTCCAAGAAATTGCCCCAGCTCAGGCTTGAGGCCTTACTTTTTTACTGTTATTATTGATAATGGACAGAGAGCTGGCCTAGGAAAATGGGAAGACTTAGGTTCACCCCTGAACCAGACTTATCAAGTGGCTGAGGGAAAGTTTGTAACCTTTTAGTGATCGAGGCAATTCTAACACTACAGATTATATAGAAGCTGCCCTCTTACATTGGTGGAGGGAATTTCCTCATCTGGAAGTTCCCTTTTGTCATTGTAGCCACAGGATCAGACCCTATCTCTAGTATGAATAATAATTATAGTAATTATTATCCAAGGAATCAGCTGACTCTTTCCAGGGAAAGGTGTTGGAAAGAGAAAGAAACAGAGATAGACTCAGGGAGACAGAGACAAAAAAAATGTGTGTATGTGCTAATGACTTTCTTAGGACTGTGTCCTGTTTTATCAAATCGAGGTTTGGCTATTTCCAAATAAGTAAAAGGGAATGCCCCACCCCCACCTTGTAAGGTTTTGAGGTGACAGATGTGCTATTCTGTGTTTTCGTGTTCTTTGAGCGATGTCATTTGAGATTTGGATTTGGGTCACTTTTCTAGCTGTTATGGCAAAGACTTGTTTACAAATAATTTACTTTAGGGGCAGCTAGGTGGCACAGTGGATAGGGTTCTGGCCTTGGAGTCAGGAGGACCTGAGTTCAGATCCTGCCTCAGACACTTATTAACTCTGTGACCCTTGGCAAGTTATTTAGCTTCTAGTTGATTCAGTTTCTTCAACTATAAAATCATAATGGCATCTATCTCCTAGTTCCTTTTCCTTTCCCCTTTCTCCTTCCCTTTCCTTTTCCCTTCCCCTTACCTTCTACCAATGATGAGTTAGTTGTTGGCTTCTCAGAGATGCCTTTGACAGGAGACCTTATATTTGTCTTATGTGTATACTTTTTTTAACATATGAACTAGATTGAAATACACAGGACTGATTAATTTCTATGTAATTGAATGTTAAAGGCACAGTGAAAATTTTCCATGAATAATAACCAAGGAGAAACTGAATTTTCTTTATCATCCGTTTGACCTTTTCAAGTTTCTACAGTAGATGTAGGCACTCGAATGTTTATTATTGACTGATGTAAACAGATAGATGATCTGTGATGGTGGGGGAAGGGAGCAATGTTTCTACCCTTCTTCCCACACTACCCATTGGAAAGATGGTTTCTTGTCTTGTGGTTGGGTCTGACCCTGTTAGAAACTGAGCTTGGTCAGATGACTCAGATTTCCAATCCTGACCCATTTCTCCATCCCCATCTCCATCAGAGACAACATGCGTATCTGTGTGCTGTGACGTGACTAACCTAATCCCCCCCTTCCTCCAAAAGTCTTTTCATTTCTGACTCATGAAGTGGAATTGTAGGCTTCTGGGGGGGTAATTATGGGTACTCTTGCTGATTCTCCTTATTGGGTAATGAAGATAAATTTTGGTGACACACAAAGTTTGGGACATCTGAGCATGCTATAAAAACTGGAGAATCTGCCAAAGAATCTTTCTGATTATGACCTTTTCTTCTTTAGGCACCACACTGGGGCTGCTGTGAATTATTTTGGGGAAAGCATGTCCAAGCTTTATTGTAATGGTGGCCATTCCTTTTTCCCCACTCGCCCCCTCCAATGGGACCCATTGATCTTTCTTTGGCTGGATTTAGTTCTGCATTTTCCTATTTTTTCTTGCCACCCAACCCCCCAACATGATGGTGCCAGTAACACCATCAATTTCTGACTACCCAGTTGTCCCAAACCTCTTTTGATAATTTTCAAGCTTGCTTAACCAAGCAGCAAACATGATATAATGCTGCTGCTGCTGTTAATTGGCATTTATGGCTGAGACAACTAAGCAAGTTAGTTAACCTCTGTCTGCCTCAGTTTCCTCTATTGTAAAATAGAGATAATAACAGCACCTATCTCCCGTTGTTGTGGTGAGGATCACGTGAGATATTTGTAAAGTGATTAGTATAATTCCTGGCATGTAGTAAGTGCTTAATAAATGCTTGTTCTGCCCTTCCCCCTCTTCCCACCCTGCCCCAGGCTTTAAGGTTCATGAAGAACTTTTTGTCCGTTATCTTATTTGATCCTCACAACAACCCTGTGAGGTAGGTACTTTTATCATTCCCATAACAGGGAAACTGAGCCTGAGAGCCTTGCCTCTGTCACAAAATGAGCGATTGTCTAAGGTAGGATCCAAACTACATTCTTCTGATTCCACTGATATGTGGTTAGGTGAATGTTCGGAATTATCTGAAGCCTTGTCTCTTTCTCTCTTCACCTCAATTTTATTTCCCTCCAAAATGGGATGTTGGCACATTTCACAAGTGCTTGTCCAGAGATGGTCCAGTTTGAGGTTCATCTTAGCCCCCTTATTTTTGGTTCCTTCACCTGTCCATCTTTGGTCATTCAACAAACCACTTTTAAGTGCCTGCTACTTACAAAGCACTGATTTTTGGATCATTTCCCCAGACCTGGGAAATAAAACCGTTGGATATTCAAATGAGCCAGGTCTATTTGCTAGCAATTTGTGTTGAAATGTTTGATGGATGGTGAAGTTGAATTTGTTGACTTAAAGATGACTTAAAAATTATCTGTGGATTTCAATCATTTATGGTGTTGGATTCCCTATAACCAAAGAGAAGCGAGCAAATATTTGCCAGGCTCATTTATTACATGCTGTTATTGCATGCTTTAAGTTTCTTAGCCAAAATATGCAATATTTGTATAGCATAATATCAGCATGAACTTTTTTTCTGCCTTTATCATTGAAGTATTCCGTCCCCATGTTTTTGATGCACCCCAGCTTCTCTCTCTTCTGTGTCTCAAGTAACTATGGTAACCTAATCCTGGAATCCTAAGGCTGGAACAAACCCCCAAGGTCACTTCGAGCCTTTCCCTGCTTTTAGGCAGGGCTGATCATCCTTTCGACTGAGGGTAGCCAGCCCAAATTATCTTGAAAATCCATTAGGGGCAATTCTAGGTTGCCTGGTAAAATCATCAGTGGTTCAGATAGGAAGAACTTGGCTATACTCCTAGGAATGCATGTGTTGCCAATGATGACCTGAATCTGGGACCCTAGCTTAATTTCCCAAAGCAGAATGCTATCACCTCCACTCCTGGATAGCGACCCTATGGCCTTCTTTTATCAGATAACCAGAACATCTTTTCCCCTTTGGTGATTCACTGCCTGTTGCATTATTATGGCAGCATCAAAGT